TTATAAATTCGAATTCGAATAAAAATTTATCTTTTACTTTTTTGGCCATAGTTATATGGGTGCCTTATTCGAATTATAAATTCGAATTCGAATAAAAGTTTATCTTTTACTTTTTTGGCCGTAGTTATATGGTTGTCTTAGTTCAATTATAAATTCGAATTCGAATAAAAATTTATCTTTTACTTTTTTGGCCGTAGTTATATGGGTGCCTTATTCCAATTATAAATTCGAATTCGAATAAAAATTTATCCTTTACTTTTTTGGCCGTAGTTATATGGGTGTCTTAGTTCAATTATAAATTCGAATTTGAATAAAAATTTATCTTTTACTTTTTTGGCCGTAGTTATATGGGTGCCTTATTCGAATTATAAATTCGAATTCGAATAAAAATTTATCTTTTACTTTTTTGGCCGTAGTTATATGGGTGTCTTAGTTCAATTATAAATTCGAATTCGAATAAAAATTTATCTTTTACTTTTTTGGCCGTAGTTATATGGGTGCCTTTTTTTTATATTCGAAGTGATATCAAGCACTTGAAGCTCCATTTATATTCGAACTCGAATTAGGCATCTCATGAAAAAAACAGAAAAAACTTCAAAAAGCAGAAGAGGTGGCAACTCTGATTAAAGCATAAGGAACTGATTGACTATCCAAACAGCGAAATGAAGTATTTCCTATAATGAAATCTGAATGAATGCATAAGACTTCTTCACTATGATCTCAAATCATATTGATAAACAAACTAATGTTTACCAATCCATTTACAATGAAGTTTGATTATTTAAAATCAACATTCCATTACTTTAATCTCAATTGATACTTGAGAAAAATTAAAAATGTAATGAAATTTTCATGTACAAAGCATAGATTTTAATCCATCGAATCTATTCATCTAGTTGTTCGATGTTCATACTTATCATGAAATAACTACAAGCCTAATTCGAATTATCTTAGAAAAAAAAAAAGATTTTATGACGCTGATCTATCATTAAAATGTATTCCAAATAATTCTATAATATCCTTTTCTTTTTGTCTTTCAGATAATTAAATTTTACATCGTTCAATTGTCTTATTCATTAAAAATGAGTAAAAACGATTATACGAAAACATTAACTCTTTCTATTGACAATCTCCATTCGAATATAAAATTCTTTTATAATCCATTATTTCGCAAACATATACAAGAGTATTTATTAAATTCACATCATATCGAATCTAAAATTCAATTATTACAAACACAAGATATTTTTCTTACATTGACCGGTGAGAAAAAAAATGTCAAAACAGCTCTACAAACAATTCCGAATTTATTCGAATTAATACAAATGAAAGTTTTCAATAATAAAGAAATTCATCAAAAAAGTAATTAAACTATTTAATTGAAAATCTTCTAGTTTTTAATATTTATCTTCTACATAGTTATCTATTGGTCACAACAAATTACATCAGATCTTATTATTCCTGTTATACAACAAATTATGGATCAACAAAAAATATTTACTATATGGGAAAAAACAACTCTATTTTATGGTTATTTTAAAGTTATTTATTTTATTCATGAATCATTTAAAGTTTCTGAAAATGAAATTACAGAGATATTAAATAATCAAATTGAATACATTGAAAATATTGAAATGCCTAAAGAAATAACTAAACAATTTTTGAATGATATTGATCAATTTATTGCAAGTAAACAAAATTCTGAACTAGCTATTATTCATTGTAAATATCCATATAAATCAAATATAAAAATAAGTTTATTTGGACAAAGAAAATTAGTCAAAAATGCTAAAAAACAATTACAATCGATTATTCATAAACATACAATAAAAACTGTTCAAATGAAAATCGATACAAATCAAGTTAGTAAATTATTCTTACATATTTAATTTATAAACGAATTTATTCTAGCATGAATATCTACTTGACAATTGTATTGAACAACTTGATGATATTGAAAATGAATATAAAAATGATAATGTTAAAATACGCATACGATTAAAAGAATTTAGTTCACCACAATATTTATTGGAAACTATAGAAAAAAAAATACAAAAACTTCTCCCTCATAGAATTGTTTGTCAATATGAACAAATTGGAAATTCTATTCTATTAACTGATTATGATTATCGACAATTGAATCGACTCGTTTATGTTAACTATGGTCGAATAGATCAAATTGAAACAAAAACTATAATGAAAGTTTATTCAATTCCAAAAGCATCATCCACCACATCGAATATATCAAATTCACTTATACAACAATCAAATGAATTTTTTTCATCATTATCAATGAGAAAAATCTCAGTATTAAATGGTTCAATAGAAATTTATTTAACAAATCAAAGTAGTTCTATACCGGTACGATAAATCCTTTTTTTTGGGGGCATTCTATCTTAATAAAATTATCACCAGAGCTCAATGAAATTTGCAGTTTCATACATAAAGTCTATTAAGACTAACACTGAGATGTCCATGCATCTCTGATTTCGTTACCATGAGAAATTTGCAATTGGTTTTAAAACGTAGTGAAAACATTCTGTCACAACTTTTTCAGGTTGGTTTCTAGAAATTAATAAAAGAAAATTTTAAAAACCAATTCTATTAAGAGAAAAATATAACAAGGTACAAAAATGAAATTTGAGTTTTGCCTCGATTGACTGATATAAAAAAAAAATGTTTGAGTAATTTATAATAGATTTACGATTAGAGAAAATCCTACGAGCTGTCAGCAGCCGAAATAACCTGTGTAAAGTCTCGAAAACACTAGAATGCATTTGAAAGAACATTACTCGACTTTTCTTTTTTGAATTTTAGAGAGATATTACAATTATTTCATCTCAAGCAGGAGCTACCGAAGAACATATAGACGTTATGAGTGATAATGGATATTTAGAAATGAAGACAGGTAGAAAATTTCTATTTCATCGTTGGACACCAACAATAGCAACCAATGATGAGAGAGAAAATCAAAAATTGAAAAAATCAATTGAAAAATTTATTTCTTCGGCTCTACAGGGTATAACAGCATGCTATACTAGTGCAGAAACAATAGTTTTTCAAACGAATGAATGGGAAAATATCGGACTTCAACTACAACAACAACAACTATTAGCTAATTGTCTTATTAATGAAGTTAAACAATATATTATAACAAGAAAATTGCATTGGAGAATTTTATTTATTTTTAATAATCAACAAATGAATTTATATAAAGAATTTTATGAAATTTTTATTAAATTACAAACAAATCAAGATGGATTTGCTCAATTTGTATCCCCAGTATCTAGTAAAAAGCTTTTTTTTTATTTATTTATATCGAATAGCGATATGTTAAAAAATTTCTTTATTTTTTAAAGTAATTCAAATCACATTGACAACATCATCAAATCTCGATCAAATCAAATGTGAAAATGAAGTAAATAAATACATTCAAAGATATATATTAGTCGATAAAAATTTAACTAATGAAATCGATATCATACAATGGGATCAAAATATGATAAATGCTTTCTATAAATATTGTTTAACTAAATTAGTATTACCCAAGATTGAACTAATCAAAAATTTACAAATACATCTTATTGGTTCAATACGACAGGTTGAAAAAGCAATAGAAAAATATAAATTAATGTCAGATATTTTAAAACAAAAATCATCTTTAAGAATTCCACCACCAGTTACTCCTAGAAAAACAACTCATTCAAATTCATTGAATCGCATTCGATATAATATTTATTTTAGTTATTGTCAAAATGATCAAACTTTTTGTAATCGTATAAAAAATTATTTAGTTAGTGAAAGTTATTCTATATATGAAACTTCAACAAATACAACATCATTGCAATCATTTATGGATAAATCCGATGTCATACTGATTGCTTTCAGTGAAAATTATTCAAACAATAAACAATCGATAGCTGAATTGAATTATGCTAAATCGATAAATAAACTTTTAATTCCATTTGTAATTAGAAATAATACAGAAGATAGTTATTGGCTATCATCACTTACAGTTAATGAATTATTTTATGATTTATTCGATTGTGAAATTGATCTTGAATTCTATGATGATTTCGATCTTGAATATGATAAACTATTATGTAAACTAGTAAGCATATTCTATGGATATAATTACGAAGACTTTCATTTAAGTATGACAATAATAGATCTAGTAGAACAAAGAAAATTAATTTTACAAATTTGAAGTAAACAAAGATTTGACTGAATATATCAATGTCCTATTTCAAATATTATTAAACTTTTATTTTCATGTCACATATATAGATTTGTGCAGTCTCTCTTTCGGAATAGACTCTCAAACTTTTGAATTGGAATTAACAGTGATGAAAAATTTTGATACTATAAAAGAGTTCAATTGGACTGTTATATACATGCAACGAATTGCTCTCTTTTCACAACAATAGTACTCTATCCTTAGATTGGAAAGAGCTTGGATTAGACAAATAATGATCTGATTGATCTTATAAGATGAAATCTTTTTCATATTAAAAAAAAGTTGCAAATGAGTTTTCCCATATTTTTTTTTCTAAGAAGCATCTGCAATCAAATTCTTTTATATATTTTTGCACTAGACAGTTTGCTCTTTCTAACAGTAAAAAACTGAAATGTTCAAGGCGTTCTACTACAGCATGAACATGATGCAAAACTTTTGCCCTACCCGTTATTTTTAATTCATGAATATATTTATTTAGTTGCGTTATACAAAACCAGGTATCACAGGTATAACATATCCGGAAACACATAAATTGCCTCAGATTATTCGAAATGATGAAGACTATGAAGTAGAAGCATTTGGTCGTATTTCAGTGGCTTTGCAAAAACTAACCCCTGAACAACATGCTGAACGTAAAGAAGACTATCAATTACGATTGACTGAAAAAATGGCAAGAGAAAAAATTCCAGATGATGAAATAGAAGAATTAGTAGAAGTATTACAAGTTGTTATCAATGATTCAGAAAGCGTTCTTCAAGAACTAAATGACGATACTAAATTAAACACCAATGAAAATGATACAAAAAATGAAATTCATCGTGATTGGAAATTGGGTAAGTTATTATAATAATCGAAATCAATTGTGCATTGTTTTTTTCTTTTTTTTGCATGGATAAAGTTTTGTCAGGAACTATTCGTGATTGTATAAATCGTGCACAACGTTGGTTAAGTAAATCGTCAAATATGATTCAAGGAAATATAACACCATTTACTCCTACAGGAGATATAAATGATGCTATTTTTATCATTCATTATTCATCAAATGATCCAACATATATGCAAAATTCTAAACCATTTGATCATTCATCTCCGGCTAAATATTTTTCAACATTGAATTCGTATATGGGCTCAGGTTTTAATATGGAACAAGCACATGAATATTGTCATAGATTATTCAAAAATACTAAATCACCGCATAAGAACGAGAAACATGAAATTATTAAACAAGCTGATCATACATTATTTCTTAGTAATGAATTGAGAACACCAGAGGAAATGCAAAAACTTGAAGAACTTGATAATCCAAATCGTATTTGGAAAGTTAAACCAGATCGAGAAAAATTTGTTCAACAAAAAATTAAAAATATTCTTGAATTTAAAGAATTATGTGAAAAATCAATGTAATCTTTTTTTTTTATTTCAGATAATAAAGTGATGGATTTATCGTTAAAAGAATATAATTCTCTTATTCGTCCTCTCGGTCGAACAGCTAGTGTATCAGAATTAAATCTGTTCTTTAATAATACTATTTCATATTTAAAAAATCTAGTTTATTCAAATGAGAAACATGATGGTTTAGATATTTTAACAAATATTTGTGATGATTTAGCATGTGTACGTGCTATACAATTATATGATCATCCAATTATAAGAAATCATCCAATATTTATCTATATTGGACGTACATTAGAAGTTTTATTAATGAAATCTAATCATTTACGATCAATACCAATGAAAAAATGTGAAGAAAATTGTTTTTATAGTGTAAGTTATTTCATAGCACAATTATGTTTATATCACAATGAACCAATTCAGACATTTTATGGATCATTTTCCAATGAAAGTTTTTCTGTAACTGATAAAATAAATATAAGAGATGAATCTATTAATGAAAATAATCGAAAATCAAATAAAATTTCAGATAAACCAAATTTAAAAATCACATGTATACCACCGAGTGCACCAGAAGCTCGTTCGACTAATAAAATATTATTTGATATAACAGATACGCCAAAGAAGAGACTATTTTCGAATGAAATTATTTCTCCATTGATTGAAACTGAAGAAATTATTGAATCTAAAATACCATCAAATTTACCATCGAAAAGATATCAAGATGTATTTTTTACAACATCATTTTTAAATAAATTCATTCGATCTATTGATGATTTATCACGAAATGAATATTCATCCTATCATGTTAAATATAAAGTTATCGATAGACTTGTTCGTCTTTGTTCAAAATTGAATATAATTAATGAATTATTTGATTCGATTATTTCATGTTTATGTTCAAAATTTTATCAACAAATTTTTCTAACCATTGAACCGGAACAAATTCGTTTAAGTCCAAAACAATTATTTTTTATTTATCAATGTACACAATTTATTATTCAAAATCAATTTCAACAACAAGAACAAATTCCTAATTTATTATGTCAAACTATGATTAATACTACAAAAATAATTATTGAATATATTTTTCCAATGAATGGTAATTTTGTAATTTTATTCGAATAAATTTTTTTTTTATATTTCTATTTTTCAAGATGACGAACTTAATTCAATATATTTTCATCAGCAAGATATTGCTCTCTATGCATTAAATTGTCATTTAGAATTATTAAATTATTTATCATTAACATCAAATGGTAGACGATATTTTCTACAAACAAATATCATTGATCTAACGATGAATATCTTACAACAAGATCAATTAATTGTTAATGCATGCGAACATGAAGAACTTTTTCATTCTGATATTGCTGTTATTGTACATACAATTATGTTATTATATAATTTAGCTTACGAAAAACAAATATTTTTAATTCTGAAAAAAAGAGATTTTCTAAATATTTATTTTAAATTAAAATCTTCAAATGATAAGTCTATTAAATTTGTATGCAAAACTTTATCATCAATTTTAAATCAAGATCAAATTCATGAAGAAAATGAACCTATGAAATTAAAACAAGCTTATATTAAACATCTTGAAGAACCTACTGAGAAATCAAAAGATAAAACCGTACCTGATATTGTTAGAATTACAAGAGGTATGTATATGAATATTATATTTTCTAAAATGAATTTCTTTTGTTTTTAAAGAACGAGATGATAATATTAAATTAGCAATTTTAAATGAAACATACATAACAAATTTAAGTCGAGATGTTGAAGAATTATCTAGAAATGAATCTTCAATAAGTCCAGCTAAATACAAAAGTATTGGACAACGTGTTCGTGTTGTTACAAAACAAGAAACTAAAGAAGTTGAATCATTATTAGATCCCATATTAAAATGCTTAAATTCAAGTTTTTATCTTAAAATTTTCGAAAATATTGAACTTAGTCATGGAAAAGTTATATCTGGAATTATACAAACAAATCGTAGTCTTGCTACAAAACATATATTTTTTATGCGTGAATGTCCAGAATTTCTTTTTCGACATGATTATAAACGACGAAAAGAAATAGCAAATTCATTAGGACGAAAAATGTTAGAACATACAAAAACAATATTCAATCAACATCTATCGATTCTGATTGGAGAAGAAGGTAAGAAAGATTATGATTCTATTTCTAAAAAAAAACCAGCAAGAATAAACTTTTTATTGTCAATATATTGATATGGACATGCCGTAGGTCAATCTAAAATTGGACTTAGGCTATTGTGAGATTCGATTTTGGATTATTCCAATCTTTAATCTCAGATTGGTCTACGACATACATATTAATTAAAAAAGAAAGTTTTACATGAAAAATAGATTTTTTTTTATTTTAGGTAAACAACCAGTCGATGAAATGAAAGCAGCACGAATGATAGCATTAAGTTATCATATAAAAGTATTGAATCATTTTACATTGATACGATCAATACGAAAGGAATTTTTATCATTAAGTATCATTGAACAAATTCTAAAAATATTACAAGATAGATCATTAACTGATAGAGATCAAATCGTTAATGAAGCTAAGACTGCAGTTGTTGAACAATCTTTAATATTATTATATAGTCTAGGACAGGAGAAAGAAATAATTGGAATATTAAGAAAAAAAAATTTATTTGATATTTGTTTGAAATTACGTATTGTTAAAGATAGAATTATACGTTTCGTATCACAAATTCTATTAACTTTATTAGACAAAGATGCACATAAACATATTCATGAACCACATTCACTATCAAAAACTTGTATTGAATATATTGATAAGGCAGTTAAAGAAACTAGAAAATCATATCAAGGTATCAAATTACATCGTTTATTAAAAAATCTTGAAAGTAAGTAATAGATATTTATGAGCAAAAAACAAAGATTATTTCTATTTTAGTTATGACTGTAAATGATACATTTATTGAGTGCCTTCTCGAAGCAAAACAAGGCATTACAGTTTTTATAAAATGTATTTGTATAAAATATTTCGATGAAAAAGATTCAGATAGTGAAAACAAAGAAATGATTAGTAGAATACATAATTCAGCTGTATCTATTATTTGGAGAATTTCATCCTATGGACCAAAACCAATTTCAAAATTAAAAGCGAATGATTTATTTATTGATCAAATTCTTATATTATCAAAAGGAAAAACAGAAAATACGAAAAGAGCTGCAAATGGAATTATTTGGAGATTAGGTAATGAAGATAAAATACGTTTTGAGAAGTCACAAAAAAAACGTAATCAAGAAAATAAAACCGATGATGATCAAGTTATTGAGCCTGAAGAATGGGATGAATCAATACCATATGATTTATTAATAAGTTATAGTAATAAAACTAATGATAAGATTATTTCTGGAAAGATTTATAATCGTTTAATAACAAAAGGTTATCGGGTATATAGTGAAAAATCAGGACAAAATCGATTCGAATTAATGCAAAAGGCCATTGATTCTAAAAAACCTATACTTGTTTGTTTGTCATCAGCCTATCGTGCATCAACAGTGTGCATGGCTGAAGTTGAATATGCAAGTAAACAATCAAGTCCAATTATTTCTGTTATAGTCGAAGCAAAATATGATGTACAAGGCTGGTTAAAACATCTTATTGGTGGAAAAAAAACTATTGATGTAACACAGAAAAAATTCGATGAAGGATTCATTAATATATTAGAAGAAATTGAAAAAACAAATAGTTCTAATTAGTTGATTTTCTTTTTAGTCTTCGATCACACATAATATTCACAAATATGCAGGAAATGTATGTGAATTTTTTATAACTGTTTTATTTTTAGATATATAATTATTTCTTTAAGTATACAGATTTATTAATTTAAAGGTCAGTTTGTATGAATGTATGTCTTGAAAGCATAGTTTTTTTTTCATTTTATCTATAATTTTAGTAATATTATCGTTCTTGTTGGTGACACAAAACAATCGATGTCGTCTACTGAATCAAAATCAAAGAAAACTTCTGATTTTTATCAAGCATGTCGTAATGGCTTAATCGATGAAGTTCGTGAACGCTTACCAAATATGACTCTAGAAGAAGTCGATAAAATTGAAGAAAATGGTTCAACAGCACTTCATGCTGCAACCTACTTTGGTCATACAGAAATAGTTAAATTATTATTAGAAAAAGGTGCTAGTCGTTCGATAACGAACGGTTATAAAGCTGTACCGTATGATGAAGCTGAAAAAGAGGATATTAAAAAATTATTTCTACGTCCAACAACAACTCGATTTTCTGATGATGGATCGGGCCGTATTGATTGGATAAAATGTGATGATACAGCTGAAGTTTTAGCAAGTGAATATCGATTTCGTCATAGTGGATTTGGATGGCAAAGTAAAAATATTGAACATCGTTTAAAACATATCAAAGCGGAAATGTCTCATACAGAACATGAACGTATTAGTGCATTTATTAATAAAGCACAAGATGATCCATTTTGTCTTCTTAAAGCTTATACTTGGGAATCTGATTTTTATGTTAAATTAAATCGAGATTTAGCAAGCAAACATTTTGATCAGGGTACAAATTTTGGTATAACATATTTTATTGATTTTTTCTACAACCATCCAGCATTCGAAGATTTTTCATACAAAGGAAAAGTATATCGTGGCATGAGCATAACACAGGATGATCTTAAACAATATAGTATTGGAGGAAAAGTTATGAGCAAAGCATTTATGTCAACGTCAAAAGATAAAAATATTGCTGACGATTTTATTAAAAAGAATCTAAGCTATCGTAAAAAACAACATGGTGAACTTGTCAAATTGTCCGCTTTGTGTACATATGAAATAGTTAACAGACGAACTGGATTATATATTGCAAAAATATCCGAATATGGACATGAAGAAGAAGTATTGATAGGCCCATATACAGCTTTTATAATTAAAGCAATTCGTCAAACTTCTCCAAAATATGTTGAAATTGATCTTCGAGAATGTGAAATAGTCGATAAAAAAGAACAAGATGATGATGATGATTTTGATGATGATTAGACTAAAATAATCGTATTTCTTTTATTTGGTATTGTATTGTTTTTTCAAAACACATTGATATCAATAAAAGTCAATTGTATACTTAATCCAAATAATTCTCATACAAATTTAATTTTGCATATGAACAATGCCGAGCTGTGATAACTGTTCGCTCAGCATGCTTTAATGCTTCATCGTATTTATAGGTCGATGCAATATTAATATTTGTTCAAATTAAAAGATAGATATGATAAGATGGTAAAATTCGTTCTTTAACCTTTAGGCATATTTGAAAATTGTACAAAGCTTTCGAATAATCTTTCAAATCACAGTAGCTCATTCTAATATAAATTATATTGAATAGCTAAACTGGGATAATTTTCTGATGAAATAGTCCGACTTATTTGTAATGTTTGTTGAGGGTGTGGATGTGGATGCGGGTGTGGGTGTGAGTGGGTGTGAGGATGTGGGCGGGTGTGGATGTGGGTGGGTGTGAGGGTGTGGGCGGGTGTGGATGTGGGTGGGTGCAGGGTGTGTGGGTGTGGGTGTGGCGTGGGGGTGTGGGTGTGGTTGTCGGTATGAATGAAGGGATTATTAACATCTACACCCACACCCACCCCCCACCCACACCCACACACCCACACCCACACACCCACACCCATACACCCACACCCTAAAGCCGAAAAAGCTGTTTGCATGGTAGATTTGATCACAGCCAATGTGTTTGTAATTCCAATGGGCAAGAAAAAAATGAGATAGTTAAGTACTTGCCATAATAACATTTGTAGTAGTTGAATTTCGGTACGACGCTGTCGGCTGACACTACCAATCACAGATATTACTCGATTTCTCTGAGCACGAACATTTAGAATTGTGAGTAGACCGAAAATGCTCATAATCAATGGCGGAAAACAATCTACAATAATGGCCTGAACTATAATCATGACTGTAGAGG